TTTTTTTTTGCGGAACCAGATATTGAACTCAGGCCCTCGAGCTTGCCAGGCAAACGCTTATTCTACGGAGCTATCTTTCTGGCCCCTATTTTCGGTCTTTCTGAGTCAGGATTTCTTTTCTTTTTTTTTTTAATTTATTTATTTATTTATTTTTGTGTGTGTGTGTGGCCAGCTAAGTCCGCCTGGGGGCGGGGCTGGCTGGCATGTGGTGCTGGGGGATTGAACCGCGGTCCATGTGCTTTGCTAAGCTTGTTCTAAGTAGGTGCTTTAGACCACTGAGCCATCTCACCAGCCCCTGAGTCAGGATTTCACTATGAAGTTCAGGCTGATCTTGAGCTGTGTAGCTCAGGCTGGTCTTTTTTTTTCTTTTTTTGTATTTTAAGGAAGGGTCTACAGAGTGTTCAGGGTCTCACTACTAGATCAGACTCGTAGTGATCCACCTGTTTACAGCCTCCCAAGAGCTGGGATTACAGGCACATGCCACCATGCCCGGTCTCAATTGCCATCTCAACTTGCCCTGGGGGCAGGCCCGGGCAGGCTCCGGAATCCATCCCCTGGGCCCTGCACCTGTTTGCAGGCACTTTAATCTGCTGAGCTATTTGGCCAGCCCTTGAAAATTATTTTCTTGACCTTAGTACTGGGAAGAAAGAGCCATCACACAAGGTGACCAAAACACCACTTTCTTTTCTGGGCATACTTCCTTATAGAGTCCTTCTTCCATATCTCCTCTTCTGGCTCAGACCTCAAGCCCAGAGTCAACGAAACAGTTGTACCACCTCAACAGACCTTCCAAAACACTCATCACAACCATCAGGGATGGTTGATTGATCAAGGGTCTTCCAGGCTGCCCCTCAACTGTGTGGCCAGGCTGATCTCAACTTATAGACAACTAAGTTAGGCAGGCAGGCAGGGCTGGGCCCTCCAGGGACTGAGTGCAGAAGATTAGAACACATCACACCCGTGGCTGGAGGCACATCTGTCCAGGCCAGGCCTCATGGTAAGGTAAAAGTGGAGTGACCAGCCTATGTGCTTGCCTGAGGGACAAGCAATAAATTAAAGATTATACTCACCTGGCTCGATAAAGTTCAGATAGACTTCCGTCACCCAGGTGGTTTGACAAGGATCTACCTCCTTCTTGACCCCTTCCCCAAAAAGTCTTTGTTCTTTCTGTGTAAATTCACTCCATGACCTGCTTCACCACTGGATCAGTATTACCTAAGTGGCTACATTTGTAATCTTTTTTTTTTGTGGAACCAGGGATTGAACTCAGGCCCTTGCACTTGCCAGGGAAGTGCTTATTCTACTGAGCCAGGGATTGAACTCAGGCCCTTCTGCATGCCAGGGAAGTGCTTATTCTACTGAGCCACCTCTGTGGCCCTACACTTGTAATCTTATCTCCCATCTAAGTACTAACCAGGCCCGACCCTGCTTAGCTTCTGAGATCAGACGAGATTGGCATGTTCAGGGTGGTATGGCCGTAGACGCTAATCTTATCGATCACAGTTTGGACTCATGTTGTACCCACCTTGTGATTTTGCTCTATAAAACTCCCTCTGGAAACAAAACAAAACAAAACAAAACACCTCCCTTGGGCTGGGGAGATAGCTCAGTAGAATAAGCACTTGCCTGGCAAGTTCAGGGTCCTGAGTTCAACCCCCAGTACTGCAAAAAAATTAAAAACAAACAAACAAACAAAAATGAAAAAAACTCCGAGAAGTAAAATTGGTGGCAAGCAACACACATCTGGGTCCCCTCTTGTCTCTCAGGAGCTACTGCTATCAATAAATTTGTCCTCTTTTATTTTGAACGAGGGATTGAACTCAGGCCCTTGCACTTGCCAAGGAAGCACTTATTCTACTGAGCCATCTCCTTGGCCACCCCCCCTTTTTTTTTTTTTAATTTTTCCTCTTTTAAAGTTCTATTATTCCTTAGAATTCATTATTTGATTTTGGGAAAACACCAACTCGGCATATCTGACATCTAGCATGTTAGGAGTTATATGCAATCCTCATGTCTCCGCCTCCAAAGGGCACACTGGGATTACAGCTTGCACCAACATGTTCCGCTCTTCATGTTTATTATGCAACAATTTCAAGTAGTTTGGAATGTGACTGTCTTCTCTAAAGAGATTTATTTGTATCCAGGCACCTTGGTGCGCACAGGTAATCCCACCACTGGGGGAAGCTGAGGCAGGAGAACTGCAAGTTTGAGCCTAGCCTGGGCAATTTTGTGAGCTGCATATTAATATAAAAATTTTTAAAAGAGCTGGTTAAAAAGGAGTAGTGATGTAGTTGAGTTGGAAGCCCTTGGGTTTAGTCACTGGTACCACAGATGAAAAAAACAAACAAAAAAACTACCTATTTGTCTTCTTTTGGGGGATAAGTCAGTCAAAAAGCAACATTTTTACTTGTTTCTGTGTGTAGGAGGGCTTGAAAATCAGTTGTCTAGAAAGCAGCAAGGAAACATAAACCATTTAAGAGGTTTAGGCCACGCAGGATATGTAGGTGCACACCTGTAATGCCAGCGGTAGAACTTAAATTTGAGGCTAACTTGGGTACTTTCGTGAGCCCTTATTTCAAAATAAAATTAAAAAAGGCTAAATAAAATAAAAATAAAAAGCACGTGTCAGGACCCGAGTGCCATTTCCAGTACGCAAAACAAAAGAAAAGGTTTGGGCACTGCACCAGTAAACTGTCTGTCCTGCAAGCTGATTGACAGGCCCTCCTCGGGGAAGGGGTGGTGCTGAGCCGTGGGGACTGTACCCCACAGACAAAGGGAGCACAGCTCCGCTAAGGGTCTTTTGTTGTCAAAACATTCGCAGTCGGAGGTCCGGTCTGTTTAGAGGCAGGACCACCTCAGGGTGCTGCGGCGTTGGGTCTCCGCAGTTCCGGGGCGAGCCATGCTGGACCTGCCGGTGCGGTTAGGGTGCACTTCCAAAGGAGCTGGCTTTCCCAGGCCGGTCCCCAGGTCAGCCCCCGATGGGGACTCGGAAAGCCCCCGGCGCCCACCGCCGCGGGCCCGGGGCTGAGGCGCCGCGCACTCGCGCTCGTTCGTGTGCGTCCGAGAGTTTGACACCCGGCTCGGCGCTCACGTGCTCGCGGTCGCGCCTTCTGGGGCTCCCCGGGGACAGGGCGAGCAGAACCTGGGTCGGGGTGGGCAGGTGACAGGGGGCCCAGGGGCGGCCGCGGGCGCTCGGGGAGACCTGCGCCTCGGCCCCCGCCCGAGTCCCCGGAGCCCCTGGCGGGC